GAAATTTTAAAAAGAAATTTGATGACATAATAGAATTGTTTTCTTAAAATATTGGAAACTAGTTAAAAGGAAACTTATATTAGAATTTGTCTGATTAAATAAACTAATTAAAAGGAAATAGGATGTTTCGTAAATTAAACTTGTTCATGAAATAGAATTGTCTTAGAATATGGAAAGCCGTTAAAAGAATTTATTGTCCATGAAATGAATTTTGAATTAGGGAGTTTATTTTACAAGTAGAGGTTATTGTAAGATTTTATGAGAATAAATTAGTTGTTAAACAAATAGGTAATTATTTTGGGTTTTTATAAGTAATGGACTTAGAGATATTAAGGAATTATTTGACTATGTAAAGGGTAGTTATTAGGAATGATTTGGATGTAGTAAAATAAATAGAAATATTATTTTGAGAAATAGTATGAATAGGGCGTTTCTTATTTAGTAGGCATATTTCAGTGGTCCGTAAAATAACAATATAGAACGGATTGTGAAGTATTTGACTTTATAGAAATAAAGGAATGTAAAGTATTGGAAGATATTTGGCTGATTTTTGGGTTTTATGTGAAATAAAATATAATTTAGTACACCTCATTAGTTTGTTTCTCTCTCTTGCAAATAGACCCTCTTCCACAGATTTTAGATAGCAAGCTCCAAGTATATAAACACCATCAATATACCGCTCGCCATTTACCATCTAACAAATTTACATAGAGTACTTGGGGCGATTTGCTACAATATAATTCCCTATTTTAAATGTTTCCATTGAAAAATCAATAATTTTGTTGATTCGATCTGTCAATCCTTTGAATCTACCAGTGGCGTAGACCATTTAAATACTTGATTTTAATTTTAAAAAGTCCTAAAAACTAATTAAGAGCGAATAAACTGATTATTTCCTAATTTACGCCCCAAAATACGTATTTCCTGAAAAAATCGTAAATTTTGGCGTGGTGATCAACCATTTAGACATTTACCGTTTTAACTACGTATGATTTTGTGATACGCCACTGGCCACGGTCTTGGGCCAGCCGGTAACACGCAGGCTTGACGGATTACCAGTCCTCTCTCTTTTCTTGTCTAAGGTGCCACCAATAACCTTGAAATCCTGCGCGCGGGATACCCGAAGCCACGGGTGTTCATGAAGTCATGATACATGATGCCATGCTCATGGCGTTGCCGAGCAGCATCGTTCCACATTTTAAGCTCACGACTGTATATAAAAAAATGCCACTACAATACGCGGCAATAAAGGACTGCAGCTGACGTCACAGAAACTCAAATGCCTCAGTGCGGAAAAGTGTGAATAGTGTAGAAGATAGCTTCCTAATAGAGAGTTCTCGTGCAGTCCAAATTTCAAATACCGTAACGCTTTTTGACAGGTAAGACAGTTCTTACGGTATTAACGTTAACGGAGCCCGCTATCTAACGGGACTTAGCGGATGCCTTACCGTAACGCTATTTTATGTCAAAATTAGTTTCCGCTCCATTTACATCTGCAAGAACTACAACTACTTTTAATTATTCCTCCATGAAGACCATAAAAAATAGCAAGTGAAAATTAATCAAACTCAGAATCTTTGGGATAAATAATAAGTTAGAAAACAAGCAATATAAAGGGGGTTAGATCACTCAACTCAGCTGTCAAAACGTAAACAGAATTAAGCCTAGTCTCCATGGACGCGAAATCGCGAATTTTTTTTTGCGGATATTTTCCGATTGGTTGGAATTTGACATTTAACATTTGATTTTTTTATGGCGGGAAAAATTCGCGAATTTTTTAACTTCTTGCGGCGTCGCAAAAAAGTTAACTATTTTTTAACTTTCCGCGAAATTTCGCCAAAAAAAATGAGGTTATGTGGTGTTACTTTCAGTTTAGTTTTGTTTATGTTTTTGTCGGTATGTGCTCTGTTCTCTGTGAGTCGTTGATGTGTTTTGTACTTGTAGATACCTAATAAAGAATGGATACTGCCAAAGAATTGAATATTGTAGACCCGAAAACAGACATAAATTACAGCTTGCTGGTTGATGAGGAAGATTATAATAGGGCCTTAAATGTAATTAAGACAACACCAAGATACATATCTTTATTTGTTTTTTAGTAATCACTTTCATGGTTTTCAAAGATTAGTGTTTGAAATTCAAAGCATTTAAATCGAATTCAAATTGATTACAAACAACAACACATAGGTAACCTTAACCTGTTAAATAAAACGCGAATTTCGCGCTTATGGAGACATGGGAATAATTTGCTCGGAAATAGCCACCAAAAAATGACACTTAAAAAATTCGCTTTCCGCGATTTCGCGTCTATGGAGACTAGGCTTTAAGCCTAGTACTCATAACTGCGAAATTCGCATTTTTTTGACATTGTGTTGACAATCTGACGTTTGATACACGCATAAAACGTCAAATTGTCAACGCAATGTCAAAAAATGCGAATTTCGCAGTTATGAGTACTAGGCTTAAGAGAGGATTTTCATGCATCCGTTTTTCCGTCGAAATAATGTCCGTTTAACATTCTATTCTGACATAATCGTATATAAATATGTCAAAATAGAATGTCAAACGGACATATTTCGACGGAAAAACGGATGCATGAAAATCCTCCCTTAGGGATAAGAGGATTTTTGTGTCTTCGTGTCCGAGAACCAAGAATCCTAAACTCTACAGGATTGCTCAATCGGCTAAATTTGTTCACAATTGCTGTGACGTCACGCGCATGCCGGATTTTCAAGATGGCCGCTGATACGAATGATGTTTAGTTTGTGCTGACAACTATTTTATCGTAAATTCGGATTTATCTAGTGTTATAAGTGTAAATTTAAAGTTTCATTTAATGTGTGTAAGCATAAAAGACTCGTGGCTGAAAATACTCGCGAAAACCCCAAGCATTTTCTGGTTTTATAATACTGGATTTGTTGTATCAGGACATCGCTCTTTTATTTGTGTGTATTGCTAGTTAGTATTTCCTAGTCAAGCATTTGTTTTGCTTTTTTTTTATAAATCAAATATCTACTTAGTTGTAAGTTTCCTTTGCATGTAATTACTAATAAAAATTAGGGTTTGTGAAGAGTGAATAAATAAATATGTAAATAAATTTCTTTACTGGCGCGTTTACTATGAAAACGCATGGAAAATATGGGAAACTTGCAATGTTTTTCTGGAATATGATTATGAGAATCTAAATTAGGTATCACTATTTGGCTTTGTGAAATAAGCTCACTTTGAATGTCCATATTAAATCGTTCTAGTACCTATTACATTAATGAATAATAATTGAGAAGTACCTAGCCTAGGTAGGGTCAGTAAAAAATAAAGCACACTATTGCAACCCCGTTTCGCTTATATTTTGATATTGAAATGCAAAAATTAAACCGGCTCGCTCAAGTTGGCACCCCACATTTGGTTTTCTACTGTTTCTCAACTGTAGTCAATTGTGCCCGTTTTGTGCTCAATTGTGCCAGTATTTATGCGAATTGTGCTCATTTTTCATACACAAAACAAACTTTGAAACGAATCCGGGGGCCAGCTTGACTCCAGCCCTTCGTTTTTTTGACTTTTTGGCAATCTATGTTTGGCTAATTGATAAACATAAGCAAACAAACTCGTCTTTCTAATTAGCAATTAACCAACCACTCAAGCCTCAAGGACACAAGCTTTTGAAGTCTGCTAATTTTAAAATCAATAAATTAATTACAAAATACAGTTTTCAAAGGAAATAACCTCAAAATAACAATTTTTTACGTTTGAAAATGCAAGGATAGTGCACTGTCATAAAAAACACAAACCGATCAAGGACTGCGTGACTTCATTCGCATACCGCCATCTTCGATGTTTTTATGAACGTTTGTCTTATGGGATTGAGCAATCCTGTAGAGTTTACGATTCTTGTCCGAGAACTATAAAATACCATGTAAAATACCGTATTGTTAGCGGTACCGTATTAGCGTAGCGTCTGAGGCACGAGAACTCTCTAATATCTTGTAACGTGTACGATTCCGTTCTTTAGTTTTAAGCCTAGTACTCATAACTGCGAAATTCGCATTTTTTTGACATTGCTTCGACAATTTGACGTTTGATACACGCAAAAAACGTCAAATTGTCAACGCAATGTCAAAAAAATGCGAATTTCGCAGTTATGAGTACTAGGCTTTAGGGAGGATTTTCATGCATCCGTTTTTCCGTCGAAATAGGTCCGTAAAGTCTTCTATTTTGACATATTTATATACGATCATGTTAGAATAGAATGTTAAACGGACATATTTCAACGGAAAAACGGATGCATGAAAATCCTCCCTTACTCTAGCGAGTCGATAGTAGTCGGGACTGGAGTACTTAGTGCTTAGAGTACGGAGTATGTGGCTCCGAACGCTGGAGGTATTATATTTATCGACACTCGGCACACCCCAGTTTCGGCACTTTCTGAGCTGAACTGCATTGCATCTAAACTCTATGATTTTTATAAATTTTATATACTAGTCACTAGTTGTATTTCTTTCAAGAGTATAGAACACTAGAGCTACTCGCTCCGGTGCTACTCGACCTCGCTTTAGTTGTATTCCTTTCACACCTAGAAGGAGCTCCGGAACAGCACCAGGGCTTCACGCGCTTATTCCTTTCGAAAAGTGTTTGTTGCGCCGCGCATCTGTTCCCTGCAAACTGGGGGCGACTGAACACCGGAGCGAGCAGCTCGAGTGTTTCAAACTCTTGAAAGGAATACAACTTTTGAAAGGAACAGATGCGCCGGCTTTCGTGCATTTAAATGGTTTAGTTCGGGCTTGAGCACTTCTGCAAAGATTGAGGTGCAACAAACACTTTTCAAAAAGAATAAGCTCGTAACGCCCCGAAGCTGTTCCGGTGCTTCTCCTAGGTGTAGAAGGAATACAACTATTGAGTTATCGAACGCAGAACAGTGAACTCCTTCATTCAAAACAAAAAAAAATAATTAAAGTACGGGAACCCGGTGTTTTTTTTTTTAAATACAAACAAATTTTCCAAAACTGATTGTTTGCTTCCAAGCTAGTGCTACGATTGCCGATTACGTAGTTCCAGCTTGTCGATCGGATCAGCAGTATCAAGTTTTGAACTATTTTGAAGTTTGGTTCTGGTTTGTTTTGGGTTAGGTTAGGAATTTTGTGGTGTGTGGTTATGAAAAAATTGTTTGAAAAGTGAGAATTTATTAGCATAGATAAGTTTGTTAGTTTTAGTTAATTGAATTACTACTGGCTTTCTTTTTCTTTTTATATCAAAGAATCAAATCCACAAGTGCCAGTTTAATTTTATAAAGAAGCAACTGGTGAAAAGTTTCGCGCAAAACTCTTTGTACAATGACCAGCAATAATGAGAAGGTAAGTTTTTTTTTTATATCAAATAATTTTAAACTGCTCTACAAAGTACACCACGGATAAAGTTGCCAATCTACCGATCCAAAACATTACCCTCTCAAGCTGGAGGTTTGTTGTCAACAAAATTTGGAAGAACGTATAAATTGGCCTACCGAATAATACCCTTCCTTTGCATACCTTCCAAAGTTATGATGAAATAAAATGTAATTTTTTTTTAGTGCTATGTGGAAAATAATAATTAATTTTCTTTTATATCTGGCAATTTTTCGTGAGGATAATCAAACATAATCTGGATTATGATGCTCAGATGTGATGTGTTCTGCCTTCAATACTCTTCAATGGTGTACTCCCCTAACCCCCTCACCATCCAATTCTGGGCCTGCGAGTGACGTCACTATCAGCAGCTTATAGTGATGACGTCACTCGCAGACCTCGATGTAATGCTTGCGATTCAGGCTGTCCTAGTGAGTTAATTTTTTCGTCGATTTTGAATGTAGAAAAGGTGATTTTCGATCTGTTCTCGCAGAAGAAATTAATTGTTCTTGATCTTAGCTAGAGTATCCCAGAATTTGATGGTGGGGGAGTTAGGGGAGTATGACACAATGGGCCACTTTCACGTGCCGGGAATATGGCAAATTATGATATTTTTAGACGCAGATACATCAATGCAACTGAGAATGAACAATCTTTTGCAAGATTTTAGTACCGGTGTGAGGTTAGCCACAGAACATATCACCTATAGAAAAATATCTCAAATGGGAGAATCGCGACGAAGGTTTTTAGTTAGGTTTTCCATCAACGATGGCGACACTATCGGGAGATAAGAGAAATTTACAGGTATCTGTGGTGTGGACAGTGAGTTGTGTTGGTTGATTTTGTCATTTATTTTGTCATTTCAAAAGTCAAAATTTGAATTTTTAAATTGTGTTGTTGTAAACCATGGTCCCCACGCGCGTTAAAGTGAAAATTCAAAAAGTTTTGGTTGAAAAAAACCCTAATTTTTGTTCGTATTTTTTTGTATTTGTTCGTTTGTTTCGTTTCGTTCGTATTTGTATTTATTATTTGTATTTACTTTGCGATCTACCTATAGCTGCGTGTCGCTTGCTAACTTACTAACTCTCTTTGCACTATGTTCGACATTGGAAACTTCCTGCCAGTCATAGTTTTCAAGAAAATGAGGCGAAAAGAGCTAAAAGGAGTCAGCAAGCCAAATGCAGTTGAGCATTAAAAATTATTTAAAAATAATAAAAATATAGGGAAAAAATAGATTCGCCTTTTTGTCAAGAATGCTCGATTAGTTGGGTTTTCATTCAACGATGGCGCTGTAATTCATAACCGGTACCAAAGAATATTATAGTTAACACTTATAGAAAACCTATTCCATGTATATTTTTTGACCCCCCAAATGGAGCCAGACTTTTCGAGCCGGGCTCCATCGGAGTGGTAGGCTCGCCGTAATCAACGTGGTTCCAGTTGATGGCTACTCGGCGTTGCCATATGTCCATATAAATATGTATAATAATAACTTTAAAACGGTGACCGCGCTGATGTGAAAAAACACGATATGCGGGAAAAAAATGGAAGGTTTTGTCTTGAAAATATCGCTGAAAAATTGCTAGACGATAATAGCAGTTCGAACTCGAGTTTCTCACAGAAATATCAAAGTTTTTCAATTTTTTTCTGGAAAACTGACTAAGTAAAAATTGTGCAATTTTTTCAGGTGAAAGACGAAAGTGAGGAGCTTATTATAGGAAAATTTCAAATTTTTCCAATGGAAAATCATCCCAGGAAAAATTCTGGAAAATTGACTTTTTTAAGCAGAATTCATTTTCTTAAATTACATTTATTTCCTAGAAAACTGGCAAAAGGAAAATTGTGAATTTTTTTCAGAAAAAAGAGGAAAGTGAGGATCTTATTATAGCAAAATTTCAAAATTTTCCTGTGAAAAAACACTCCAGGACAAATTTAGGAAAACTGACTTTTTTAAGCGAAATTCATTCTTTTATATTACAATTATTTTCTGGAAAATTGGCAGAGTGAAAACTGTGATATTTTTGCAGGAGAAAGACGAAAATGAGGAGCTTATTATAGTAAAATTTCAAAATTTTCCAGTGGAAAATCATTTCAGGAAAAATTCTGGAAAATTGCCTTTTTTAAGTAACATTCATTTTCTTTCTTTTTAGTTTTTTTCTAGAAAACTGGCAAAAGGAAAATTGTGAAATTTTTCCAGAAAAAAGAGGAAAGTGAGGATCTCATTATAACAAAATTTCAAAATTTTCCAGTGAAAAAACACTCCAGGACAAATTTACGAAAACTGACTTTTTTAAGCGAAATTCATTCTTTTATATTACAATTATTTTCTGGAAAATTGGCAGAGTGGAAATTGTGATATTTTTGCAGGAGAAAGACGAAAATGAGGAGCTTATTATAGGAAAATTTCGAAATTTTCCAGTGGAAAATCATTTCAGGAAAAATTCTGGAAAATTGACTTATTTAAGCAAAGTTAAGGAAAATTTACCCTCTTACATTTTAATTTTTTTCTTGAAAACTGGCAAAGGGAAAATTTTGAAAATTTTCTAGGAAAAAGAGAAAAGTGAGGAGCTTATTACAGGGAAATTTCGAAATTTTCCAGTAAAAAATCATTCCAGGAAAAACTCAAAGAAAATTGACTTATTAAGGCAAAATTGAAGAAAATTCACCCTCTTACATTTTAATTTTTTTCTGGAAAACTGGCAAAGGGAAAATTTTGAAATTTTTACAGGAGAAAGAGGAAAGTGAGGAGCTCATTAGAAGAAAATTTCAAAATTTTCCATTAAAAAATCACTCCAGGAGAAATGTATTTATACATGTATATTTTCGGATAACTGAATAAACTCTATTCTAAGTTAAAATAGTATATTTCTTAACTAGTGCGGAAAGTACCACTTTCTGCACGCGATTGCAGTTTATCGACCGACGCGCAGCGAAATTCGGCAAGCAATCAAGTGCGGAAAAGATACTTTCCGCACGAGTTAGGAACACTATTTTTTCTACGAGATGAAAGGTAATATTTTCATCTACATATTTATCAATTTAAGATATTTTTTTTCACTTTTTTGTACCTGTACCTGGTAGTATATCCTGTTAATCTGTAAGTACAGGGTGGCCCAAATTCGAGCCTCATCATTGGGATTTTGGAAACCGTAAGAGATACAGGGTCGGTTAAATTATGGCAAAGTTGCGCATTTTGATGCTCAACAAAATGCCGCTTTGATATTCAGGATATTCCGAATACTTCCGGAGATATCCAGAAAAATTTCGAAATTTTGCAAAATTGTTTTTATTTTTTCCTGACTTTATTTGAAGTGATATTTCGAAAAAAATATCACTTCATCATAGCCACTTTTTCTCCCCTACAAGATGCTACCATCAAATTTAAAATCTGACATTTCGTCTTTTGGCCACCATCATCAACTTATTTTTTTTAAATACAACCCTGGATTTTTTATTTCTGATTTTGAGAGCTTCTGATGTTCCAAAACCTATGACGTATCGCATTTATCCGAAAATAGTTATTTATGCAACAAGTGTGTAAAGTGAACCTTTTTTCACGAATGTGAATTTTGACGCACGAGCCGAAGGCGAGTGCGACAATCACATGAGTGAAAAAAGGTGCTTTACGCAAGTATTGCATACAAAATGTTTTCTACTACCAATCAAATATGTGTACGAAAATAAATTTAGTCAAATACTTCACGCGCTAGTGCGTAAAGAATTTTCATTTTACGAACTAGTGCGTGAAGTGATTTACCAGAAAAATGCCAAATTGACAGTGTCGACATCTGTCATTGACATTACTCTACGCACTAGTGCGTGAAGTGAAATTTTACGTCTTCTGAATAGCGCGTAAAGTGAGTACTTTACGCACGGTAGTAGAAAAAAATATTTTTTTTTACTTCTTAGTAATTTCCTACCAAAATTCTTTTCTCTGTCTCTCTCTAACACATTTAGTTTTTATGGAAAGTGCCAATAATATAAATTTTTCGAATAAATGCGATTCGTCATAGGTTTTGGGATATCAGAAGCTCTTGAAATCTGAAATAAAAAACGAGGGTCCGTATTTAGAAAAGTAAAGTTGATGATGGTGGTCCAAAGACGAAACATCATATTTTAAATTTGATGATAGCATCTTGTAGGGGAGAAAAAGTGGCTAAGATGAAGTAATATTTTTTTTGAAGTATCACTTCAAATAAAGTCAGGAAAAAATAAACATTTTGCAAAATTCCGGTTTTTTCTGGATATCTCCGGAAGTATTCGAAATATCCTAAATATCAAAGCGGCATTTTGTTGAGCATCAAAATGCGCAACTTTGCCATAACTTAACCGACCCTGTATCTCTCACGGTTTCCGAGATCCCAATGATGAGGCTCGAATTTGGGCCACCCTGTACCTGTATACCTAGAAATTTCAGGTATTCTACTTTTCGGCACGGAGTGCGGAAAAGTGATCATTTTTCCGCACTCGGTGCGGAAAAAAAACGGAAAAGCACTAGTGCGGAAAAGTGATACTTAAATGACCTAAAATGCGTGCGGAAAAGTACACTTTTCCGCACGCTCGTAGAAAAAATGTATTACAAAACAATAACTCCGAAGGTGCTCTTTGAAATAATCTATGACTTAATCTTTTCTTTAAATTGTTATGACGTCATCGATGACGTAAGTAAAAACACTCGTGTCGTGCAACGAACTATACATAACGGGTCTTCAAAAAAAAAAAAAAAACAATCAAAGATTGCTTTGGTTACGAAAACGTACGTCGCATTATTGTTTGTATATTGGTCAGGATTTTTGACATGACATTTTGACATTAAATTTCATTGACTGACATTGTCAAAATTAAAGAAAAATATTGCTAAGACGTACGTTTAAAAAACCATAGCAATCTTTGATTGGCTTTTTTTTTGAAGACCCGATATGTTTGGTTGAAATTTCAGACATAAAAAAACCTATTTTTCAAAAAGGCAA